GAGACACAGGAAAACCAAGATTCAAGATTGGGGCTGTAGCAGAGGCAGAATGTAGTGCATGGCCCCAGGCACCCTGGGATGCCCCTCTTCCTCTTTTGCACCATGCCTTAGTTTGCTCCCTAGTCCCTACTGCACAGCTAATCACCTACAGCCATTTCAGCCATTCATAAAATCAGGGTTAGAAGGGACCGCAAGGGTCAGCTAGTCCAACCCCCTGCCCAGATTCAGGATTTGTTTTGTCTAAACCATCCCACACAGGTGGCTTTCTAGCTTCCTTTGGAAAACCTCCAGCAAAGGAGCTTCCACAGCCTCCCAAGGCCTCTGCTTCATTGTCCTACTGTTCTTACAGCTGGGAAGTTTCTCCTGAGATTTAATCTAAATCTGGTTTCAGAGTAGCAGCCGTGTTAGTCTGTATTCGCAAAAAGAAAAGGAGTACTTGTGGCACCTTAGAGACTAACCAATTTATTTGAGCATCTATTTATCTAAATCTGCTATGCTGTAATTTCAACCCATCACCTCTGGTCCTACCCTCTATGGCAAGAGAGAAACACTTTTCTCCATTGTTTTTAGTGGCAGCGTTTCAAGTATTTGAAGATCACTATCAGGTCCCCACTTAATCTCCTTTTTTCCAAACTATAAACATACCCAGTTCTGTTAGAATATAGGCTTTACAGGCAGTCCTGAATATCTATACTTTAAGAATTTAGGTGTATTTTTATCACTTAGCTAGTTACAGGGGTATAAAAACAAAGAATCAAAATCACAGTCTGCCTGTGTATGGGCCTTCTTTCACTAGGATAGTCTGCGGCCTTGTTCTTAGGCTAAGGCCTTTGGCTAAGCAGCCATAAGCTGAGAAGCGTATGGTCACATCCTCACATCCCAAACCAGTCACATTGAAATAAGATGGTACTGGGCTGTTAGGAAGATGATCCTGTCCTGATAGTGCCCATCATCACCAGATAAAGAAACAGATCTCAAGATGGCTAAAGAAAACTTAGTTTGATAGCATCCTGTCTGGCAAGAACTTTATCAATGGTTGTGGTTGTGAAACCCTCATTTCTGTATTGTTTTATCTTTATGGCCCCCACTTTTCTATTGTTAATCTGCCTGGTTCTCTAATTGTTTCTGTCTGCTGTACGTTAATTTTGCTAGGTGTAAGTTAATTAAGGTAGTGGGATATAATTGGTAATATTGATTATGTTACAATATGTTAGGATTGGTTAGTTAAATTTCAGTAAAATGATTGGTTAAGGTGTAGCTGAGAATATTACTATATAAACTGGGGTCAAACAGGAAGTGGAAGGGAAATTGGAATCATGCTGCTAAGTGGGGGGAACAGGAACAGGGAATAGGTAATGGGGAACAGGGACACAGGCAAGGCTCTGCGGCGTCATAGCTGCGAAGAGGGACATGGGGTTAATGCTCTGCGGCATCATAGCTGCGAAGGGGGACACTGGATAAACGCTTTGCAGTGTCAGAGCTGGGAAGGGGGACACTGGGGAACAGACTCTATCGGCGTATAGAGATAAGCCCGACTGGCGTGAAGGGCTTTGGAATATGCTTGCTTGGAAACTAACCCCAATAAACATTGCATTGTCTGCACTTCGGACTTCTGGTCTTTTGCTGCTTGCTGTCTGTGTGACAGGAGCCAGGGAAGTGGGAGGGTGAAGGAAAAGCCCGTATTACTTGCATTCCATCCCTTTGATCACCTTTGTCGCTCGTCTCTGGAACCTTTCCAGTTTCTCCACATCCTTTTCATACATTAGTGACCAAAACTGGACACAGTACTCCAGCTGAGGCCTAACCAGCGCCAAGTAGAACGGTACTGTCACCTCCCATGACTTGCATGCTATGCCTCTGTTAGTGCAACCCAAAATTGCATTTGCTTTTTTTTGCAACAGCATCGCATTGATGACTCATGTTGAGGTTGTGATATACCACAGCTCCCAGATCCTTCTCAGCAGTGCTGCTGCCAAGCCAATTATCCCCCATTCTGTATTTGTGCATTTGGTTTTTCTTCCTTAAGTGTACCACCTTCCATTTGTGTTCGTTGAATTTCATTTTGTTGTCTATAGCCCAGTTCTCCAATTTATCAAGATCCCTTTGAATTTTAGCTCTATCCAAAGTATTGGCAACTACCCTGGCTTTGTGTCATCTGCAAATTTGATCACTACCCTCTCTATTCCTACATCCCAGTCATTAATAAAGATGTTAAACAATACCAGGCCCAGAACAGATCTCTGTGGAACTCCACTTGAGACCTCCCTCCAAACCAATATCATTTTATTAATAGTTACTTTTTTGTTTGCAGGTGTTTAACGAATTATGTATGCACTTAATGGTAGTTCTGCCAAGCCTGCATTTCTCCAGCTTACTTATGAAAATGTTATGGGGACTGTGTCTCTCACCAGGCTAACACTGTAGGTGGGACGGCACCGCCCCTGCCCCTATGACCCAGCCGTACTTCCTGCTCTCTGACTAGCAGTTCAGGAGTCCTTCCAGGGCTGGCTACATTCACGTGTTCGAAGAAGAGGTTCTCTTTTTGGTCCTGGCATGGCACATTGCCTATGATTTTGCTGTGAGTGGGTGAGAAGCCAGAGGCTGCTGAGCAAAGGGCAGAGGGAGAGGGTGGGAGAAGGTGACATCACATCTTCAGGGAAGAGTCAAAAACCTGGGAAGAGGGAAGGGGAAGGAGAGAGAGGCAAACAGCCAGTAGCATTCCGGTAGCGGCATTAAGGAAGCAGGAGCTGGGGCTGGAGCTCCGGCTTGGCAGCCAGCAAAGCTGAGTTTTGCTCTTCCCAGCCCCTCCCATTCTGTTATAAACAGGAGCGTTTGGGGCTTAGCTGCAGGGTCGTGTGGAGACTTTACAATAAAAGCAATACTCAGCAACCAAGGATCTCAAAGCACCTTCTAAGCGCGGACAAGTGGCACCAACCCCCTTTCACCGGCAGGACAACTGAGGCTTGCAGAAGTGAAGTGTCCTGTTCCAGATCATCATGGCAGAGATGGAAATGGAAGCCACGTCTTGTGACTCCTAGCCTAGTTCCCTGTCCTTTGGAGCACCCTGTCTTCTAGCATCTGGGGCTGTAGTTGCCCGAGATATCCACAGCCACAGAGCCAGCCTCACCACATGTGAACTCCTCTGAAAGTTAATGGACATGTAGGAAATGGCAGGAAGCCGCCACGGTCCATGCTGTCTGCCCCCTGCAATTGCAAGGAATTGATTGTATCTGATGCAGCCACCTGAACCTAATGTACAAACCCAGCTCTGCACGCTTTAATGAATGGTCATTGGTTAAAGTGCCAAAAGGTGAAGCTTGTTATATATTATTCCCCACCAGCTGGAGGCTTTTACCATTTCCTCTTCAACATTGCTGTCAACACAATTCACCTGTGTCTTCCCACATTACCGTACACTCCACAAGCTAATGCAAACACTAAAGCTGGCTGAAAGTGCTGTCTGTTTAGGGCTGTGTGAGTCATTATTTTGCTTGAGAAAAGCTTTAAAGCATAGCTAACAGCAGCAGCAGCTTGAGTCAAATGACTCACTCACTCATTTTATGGAAACAGAACCTATCTCAAACTGCCTGGTCTCTGAAGAGAGAAGGAGCTGGAGGGTGGGGTGCTGGGTTTCCAGCACACCCCAATGCACACACTGCATTGAAGGGGAGCCAGCAAAACCAGAGCCGGTGAAACATTTTCTGACAGAGAGCTTTCCTGTTGCAAAATGCTGATTCCACAAAATAGAAATGTTTTGTGGGAAGTTATTTGATTTTGCTGAAATTTTCAATGGGAAATTGTCAAAGTGTTTCTTTTTGACTTTGACTTTTATGCTAATATAATAGAATCATAGAAGATTAGAGTTGGAAGAGACCTCAGGAGGTCATCTAGTCCAACCCCCTGCTCAAAGCAGGACCAACCCCAACTAAATCATCCCAGCCAGGGCTTTGTCAACCCTGACCTTAAAAACTTCTAATATTGGAGATTCCACCACCTCCCTAGGTAACCCATTCCAGTGCTTCACCACCCTCCTAATGAAATAGTTTTTCCTAATATCCAACCTAGGCCTCTTGTACTGCAACTTGAGGCCATTGCTTCTTGTTCTGTCATCTGCCACCACTGAGAACAGCCGAGCTCCATCCTCTTTGGAACACCCCTTTAGGTAGCTGAAGGCTGCTATCAAATCCCCCCTCATTCGTCTCTTCTGCAGACTAAATAACCTTGTTCCCTCTGCCTCTCCTCGTAAATCATGTGCCCCAGCCCCCTAATAATTTTTGTTGCCCTCCCCTGGATTCTCTCCAATTTGTCCACATCCTTTCTGTAGTGGGGGGCCCAAAACTGGACGCACTACTCTAGGTGTGGCCTCACCAGTGCTGAATAGAGGGGAATAATCACTTCCCTCGATCTGCCGGCAATGCTCCTACTAGTGCAATCTAAAATGCTGTTAGCCTTCTTGGCAACAAGAGCACACTGCTGACTCATATCCAGCTTCTCGGCCACTGTAATCCCCATGTTCTTTTCTGCAGAACTGCTGCTTAGCCAGTCAGTCCCCAGCCTGTAGCAGTGCATGGGATTCTTCCTTCCTAAATGCAGGACTCTGCACTTGTCCTTGTTGAAAGTCATCAGATTTCTTTTGGCCCAATCCTCCAATTTGTCTAGGTCCCTCTGGACCCTCTCCCTACCCTCCATTGTATCTACCACTCCTCTCAGTTTAGTGTCATCTGTGAACTTGATTAGGGGGCAGTCCATCCCATCATCCAGATCATTAATGAAGATGTTGAACAAAACCGGCCGCAGGACCGACCCTTGGGGCACTCCGCTTGATACCGGCTGCCAGCTAGACATTGAGCCGTTGATCACTACCCATTGAGCCTGACGATCTAGCCAGCATTCTATCCACCTTATAGTCCATTCGTCCAATCCATACTTTTTAAAATTGCTTCATAATGTGGTAAGACACCTCCTTCGTGTTGCCAGACTTAGTGCTTCCCACTCTGGCGATGGCAGGCCTGAGGTAATCAGCCCCACTCAGGGCAGGTTTCGCCTTCCCCCTTCTGTGCTCCCTTGGTCATACTTTCAGGGTAGGCCTGAGGGTTGGCCTAAGGGGTGATCCTCCACCAAATAAAAAGGAAACAGTCTCATAAACAAAAAAACCCTGGGTGGGGGGGGAAACCTTTTGCTGCCCCCTCGCTGGTGCTGGGTGTCATCCTGTTGGTTTGCCCTGAGGTGTCAGTCCTTCCCCTAGCAAGCACTCAGGTTTGCCTGTTTCCCCTATGGGAAGGAGTACAGCCTCTCACCCTGGAAAAGCTTATTTCCTTACTGCCACTAGCCTGGCAGCAGCTTGTCTCTCTCTTCCCCTTTTCTCTGCCCAGAGGAGGGATTTTTATAGGCCCCAGGCAGCCCTTACTTAATTGGGATCAGGTGTCCCTAATTGACCTGAGGTAACACCTTCTCAGCTTGTAGGGAGAAGGGCCTTTAAAATTGTAGGGCTAATATATCAGCCTTCCAGAGGCAAAATCCAAGGCTCTGAAGGCTAAAAAGGCCATCTTGAAAGGAGTCCACAGTCACAAGAAGAAAGAAATCAGGACATCTCCCACCTTCAGGAGGCCCAAAACTTCACGATTATGGAGACAGCCCAAATATCCTAGGAAGAGTGCTCCTTGGAGGTGATACCAGTCAGCTCTGTGTCCTTGGGGAACCAGGGCGGAATTTCTAGCCTGTCTGACTCATGAAGGACACCCCTCCCACACCAGCCTCTGCTTGAACCAAAACCAATCAGAGAAAAGACTTGCAGAGAGCAGTGAAGGGCATTGGGAGACACACCTAGACCCCTCCTGGCAAGGGTGACAAAATTAAGGCAACTCCTCTAGCCTCATCTGTATGAAAGATGGGTCAGGGAGACATCTCCATTAGCATACAGAATGGAAAACAGAAATTCCAATCCAAGAATTGCACTGAACTCTGGGACGAGAAAAGCAGGGAAGCACTGCATCATGGGAGATCTCTGCTGCAGATGTTAATGAACCTACGCCTGCACACACCCAGCTCAGCAGTTATCAGATCAATTCTAGTAACGAATCCTTGACTGATATCCAAAATATTGAAGCAGCTTAATTGCATTGTGAGCTCCCTGGAAGGAACACCACCCATAGCCAAGAGTGATGAGCTCCTATTCTCTAGCCTAAAGAAAACCCTTGAGTCATCAGTTTACCCTTAAACAAATCTAGTGTTCTCCCTTGAACCATTGTTGTTTCTTGACAAAAACCCCTACCTATGTTCAAGTAAGTTTTCTGATGCTTGGATCCAAACTATGCATCAGTTCCACTGGGACTCCATCTTCTCCTGACTGATCATGCTGCGGGCTCTGCCTGTCTCCAGCACTCAGGACCCTGAGCTACCACCATCACCTGGGAACCCTGACCAGTTCAAGCTTCATGGAAGTGGTGAGATCCCCCTCTTTTTATCTCTCTGTTTTCCTTTCTACAGTATTAACCTTTCAGGTATTAACCTTTAATAATGTAACTGTTACGTTGGTTTAGGCTCTCCTTGTGTAGTTATCACTATTATCCAATAAATAACTTTTATCGTTAAGCTGGTTGCTTCTCTCTCTCTCTGAACTTTACTCTTTTGTGTTTTTAGCTTCCCCATTTACTCTGCAGCAACGCTTCTTTTACCTAAGCTAAAGACCCCTGTAGCGCCCAAAATACTGTGGGGTTTGCTCATCAAGTGGGTTACTACCAGTATAATTGTAACATGAAAGTGGGGATAGGGACGTGCTGAACCTGTGGCATATAAGGGTGGCAGCTTGAAAGTGCTACTTGACCCAGCCCATTGAGTCCAGGGACATATGAGGGGGTCAGCTTGAGAGTGCTGATTGACCCGGTCCACTCAGACTTGCTCTGTTAGTGTGTCTGTGTTCATCTGATTCTGGGGCTGGAGGAACCCAGCCCTGGGGAACCTAGGTCCTGCAGGATAGCTCCATTGGTAGGGAACTTGCAGAAGGGAGAAGTAGAGCTCCATATGAACACACAAATGACACAAGCAATACCGTGATAGAATTACAGACCCCTCGATCTGCTGGCAATGCTCCTACTAGTGCAATCTAAAATGCCCCCAGAAGAGTAACCCTAATAAATGAGCATACCCCAAAGTAACAGGCATATCTGGTAACAGAGGAACAAGGTTGACCACTGTGACATTATCAAGTTCCCCCTGACCACAGACTCACTATGAAGAAGATAGAGGATAACAACACCAGTCTTCATTGTAGATGTCAAGATCAACAAACATCAGATCAAGCAGGCTGTCAAGAAACTGTATGATATTGATGTGGCCAAGGTCAACCCATTGATCTGGCCCAATGGTGAGAAGAAGGCTTATGTCCGTCTTGCTCCAGACTGTGGTGCATTGGATGTAGCCAACACGATTGGAATAATCTAAAGTGCATCCATCAAGAGCTGGGCAGATGAGATAATAAACTTTGTAAAACCAAAAAAAAAAGACCCTCTTGCAGCCACCTGGCCTGACTTTGTCACAATAGTATAATATATAATACAAAAGTCAGAATGATGAAATAGAAGTGACCTATTATAGAATATTTTGTTTTGCAAAAAATTCCAAGATTTCAGCTTTGTGTCCTGATTTGGCATGAAACAACATTGAAATCTGAGAATTTCCCATAGGACAGAACTTCGGTGTTTTGGCCAGCTCTCTGCACAGGTACAGAGCACAGCCGGTCAGGCTGGTAGCTAAAGCACGTACTCCTGGTCTGCAGGCAGTCATGCTGACTGGTGCAGTGACTGAGCACAGTGCCTCGGCTGCAGCACACTGGCACTTGGCTGGTTTTGAAGATCTGAGCCTGCATTTCTAGATGTAGTTAGTGCCAGTGGAAGGTGCTCGGTTGGCAGTGCTGGAGACCAAATTCCTTCATTTATCCGTAGAACAGGTGCGGCATGGGCGGCGCAGGGCAAGTCTCCCGCCCAATATCCAGTGCCCTTGTACCTCATCCCAGCCCTGGAGGGACTCTACATGTAGGAGTGGGAGTGGAGCTCAGTCTCCATGGCCCATTCAGTTCCAGGCTTCTCTGCTGAAGCAAACAGCTGGTCATTTCTGAGATATGGACACCTTCATTTGGATTTTTGTGACCTACCCAGTTTGTCAGTGACTGACCCTCGATAACCAGCACTGTTGGGGCTCTGTTAGTGGATATACGGTGGCACAGCTGCTGTCCCATGAAAGCAGGCCTTGCCCGTTCTGCATGGCTGTCATGATGTTGGCCTGGATAGGGAGGGTGCACTTGCTCTCCCTTTTAGCAGAGCTGTCTTTCCTGTGTTCACGTTGGTGAAGGAGTGGAGGAGCCATCCCCATCTCTCTTTAGGAAAGTTGAGTTCTGCAGAGGAAGAGCAATTCTTTCTCTAACACTTCTGCTCCTGGAGTCAGGATGGGCAAACCAGATAAACTGAGATACAAACTGAATTATCCTGTAAAACTCAAACCCAAATCTTGGAGGAGGCTCCCAGAAGCTGGATTCATTTCTGCTGTCTCTGCACTTCCAGGCTCGGGCCAGGCCTGGAAGCAGAAATCCCAAGATGCCATGAGCCTAACCCTGACCCAGCAGACCCAGAGTTCCATGACTCTGCTAGGCTGGGCAAAATCCAGGAAGGGCTGGTATGAGATGCATGCAATCAATGAGGGAGTAAAGGATGGCAGCACAATAAATGCCAACCAACAAGGGCTTATGGAATACAGGTCTTGCCAAGCTAACTTGAGATCATTTTTTGATGAGATGACAAGTTGGTCAATAAAGGTAGCTGTGTTGATTTAACATACTTAGACTTCTGTAAGGTGTTTCATTTAGTCTTGCGTGACATCTTGATTTAAAATATTAGCTCTATACACAATCAATGAAGCACAGACAGAATGAATTAAAAACTGTCTAACTGATAGATCTCAAAACTTAATTGTAAGTAGGGAATCATTGTCCAATGGGGGTTTTCTAGTGGGGTCCCATATGGTTCTGTTCTTGGCCCAGTGCTAGTTAATATTTCTATCAGTGATCTGGAAGAAAAAAGGAAATAACTGCCAGTAAAGTTTGCAGATGACATAAAGATGGGTGGCGTTGGCATGGTATCTATGATAAGGACAAGTCAGTTTTACAGAGTGATCTAGATTGCTTGGTAAACTGGGCTCATTGGAATAACGTGTTTTAATACAGCTAAATGCAAGGTCAAACATCTAGGAATCAAGAATGTAGGTCACACTTAAAGGATGAGGGACTGATTTTGGAAAGAAGTGACTCTGACATGGACTCAGGTATCCTAATGGATAGCTAAGGCTCTCAGTGGCTGAGAGACAGAGAATGCAATCCTTGGATAAACGAGCAGGAAGATGGGTCTATCACTGTGTATGGGATTATGAGACCTTCAGCGGAATATTCTGGGTGGTTCTGATGCTCACACTTTAAAAAGGATGTGGACACATTGGAACGTGTTCAGAAAAGAGCTACCAAAACAGTTCGAGGTCTGAAAACCCTCCTGCAGAGTAAGAGATTCAAGCTCAGCCTAGCTAATTTATCTAAGAGAACAGTCAGAGGTGAGTTGAGCATCTATAAGGATTTACACAGAAGAAGATCTCTGCTCACAGAGGCTTGCTCTTCAATCTAGTGGCCAAAGGCAAAACAAGATCCAGCGGCTGGAAGCTGAACCTGAGACATTCAGGCTAGAACTAAAGTGCAGGTTTTTTTAACAGAGCGGGGAATTAGCTATTGGAATCATTTACCTAGGGACATGCTGGATTCTCCCTCACCTGTAGGCAATGTTGGGTGCCTTTCTGAGTGAGATGCTTGAGTTCAACCACAGGTTACTGGGCTGGATGCCAGATTCCCTGCGGGAGGCTCTGTGGCCTGTGCAATCCAGGCATCGGACGGGATGATCAGAACAGTCCCTTCTGGCCTTAAAATCTATCCCTCATCCTGGAGGAGAGGGGGCCCATGTAGCAGCATGCACAGGGCTGCTCTGAGACTGCCTGGCCCTGCCTCCCCTGAGACATGCCCCCATCCTCTTGCTAAGTATATGGCTGGGGCAAGGCAGAGCCTGTTCTAGGGTGAAAGGCAAATTTCTGCTGGTCGACTGACAGCGAGGATGTGTGGCAGCAATAGGAAGAGGTCCCAGGGAAGAGAGCTGGCTGACAGGTCCCAAGCCCAGGATGGTGGACCAAACAGGGTATGTCTACACTGCACGCTAAGTCAGGGCTCTGACCCAGGTTTGAGCCCAAACCCCGCTGCTGTCCGCACAGAAATCAGTCTGACTTGGGGCAGCAAGCACCCAGGAGCCGGGTCCTGCTTGGCATGGGTCAGAGCCCAAGTCCCACTGTGACTCAGTCCAAGCCCTGCCACTTCACAGTGTGGATGCAGCTCAAGCCACAGACCTGAGTCAGAAGGTCTGTGTCATGCAGTGTGGACATGTTAGCATGGCTGCAAGACCCGGATCCAGCAATTGTAAACCCCGTTTTACAATGCAGTGTGGACACTCAAGCATGGGCTTGGAAACACCAAGTCCACAAGCTTGTGTGTCACAGACCCAGGTTTGCAGTGCAGCCTAGACGTCTCCTTACTGTGACCAGAATCCCTTGTGTGCAAGTGTGGGAGGGAAAGGGGGCTGCATGAGCAGCATCAGAAGTACTGTCGAAGCCAAGGCTGCAGGGGGGGCGTTCTGAGAAGGGTTGCTGAATACTTTTTTGCAGTACCCCTCACCCCCAGCTCTAATTAGCGTCAGTTCCTGCCATGCCAGTGTCTGGGGACTCTAAGAGAGCCTGACAGAACTGCCCAAGGGTTTCCCAGAAGGAGACTCTGTTGTTCAATGAACTTAGGTGAGGCAACTTTCAAATGCTTCTCCCTTTTCAAAATAAAAGCCACTGGGAGGGCAGGGTGCCTCTGTGTGTGCAGGAAGGAGGGGGGTATGTGAAAGGGCTGTAGAAACTACCTTGGGGATACTGGTCCTGTCAAGAGAAGTCATTTCAGTTTTAAAATGCACAGCGAGCTGCACTGAGAGCTTGAAGTGACAGGACATGATTACAGGTTTTCTGTGGTGCTGATTGGCTGCTTGATGACTTCTATTTGATGTCTCTCTTCATTTCTCAGTTTGCTCGCAGCCCCGTGCTGTCAGTCTTCACTCCCTAATTATCGCTTTCCCTGTTCTAATATCTCGGCCGGAGCTCAGGGGGTCATCTCAGCCAAGCAGCGCGGGAGTTAAACATAGCGCAGTAAAGGATTGCCTCAGCTCAGTATGCCCCAGGAAATTCATAGATTTTAAGGCCAGAAGGAACCGTTATGATCATGTAGTCTGACGTCTTGTGTAGCACAGGTCAAAGTAATTCCCAGACAAGAGCTTTTAAAAAACATCCAATCCTGATTTTAAAATTGTCAGTGATGGAGAATCCACCACGACCTTTGGTAAGTTGTTCCAATGATTAATTACCTTCACTATTAAAAATGTATACCTTATTTCCAGTGTGAATTTGTCTAGCTTCCACTTCCAGCCATTGGATCGTGTTAGACCAGGGGTCTCAAACTCCTGGCCCATGGGCCATCTGTGGCCCAAGAACCTCCCCAATGTGGCCTGTGGAACTCCTGCAATTTTGGACCCAGGTCTCTCCCTTGGCCTCGCCTGCCGCCCCCGGGTGCTTCCCCGCTCTGGGCATCCCCTGGGTGATTTACAATGGCCTGGTGCCCCGCCCACCACCAGCAACACAGTGGAGCTGAGCGGCTTTCTGCACATGCTCCACGTGTCTGCCGGCCCCTCCCTGCGGCCCCAGGGCGGGGCGGAGTTGTGCCTCCGTGCACTGCCCCCGCCCCGAGCACCCCTGCCATGAATGGGAAGCTGTGGGGGCGGTGCCTGGGGGGCAGCAGTGCGCGGAGGCCCCCAGCCCCGCCCTGGAGCCCCAGATAAGCGCTGCCCCCCCGACCCTCTCCAAGAGCCTGCACCCCCACCCCTCCCCACATATCCCCTCCTGACCCCAAACTCCCTCCCAGAGCCTGCATCCCCTCCCTCTAAACCCCCTTCCATCCCCAAACTCCCTCCCAGAGCCTGCACCCCTTCCCACACACCCCGTCCTGCTCCCAAACTCCCTCTCAGAGCCTCCACCCCTCCCCACTCCTCCCTCCCAGAGCCTACAACCCCACCCACTCCTCCTGCACCCCCACCCTCTGCCCTAGCCCAGAGCCTGCACCCAGCACCCAAACTCCATCCCAGAGCCCAACCTCTCACTCCTTCTGCACCCAAACTCCCTCTCAGAGCCTGCACCCCAATCCCCTACCCCAAACCTCCTCCCCAACACAAACTCCCTCTTAGAGCCTTAGGCAGCTGGGGACGGAGTTTGGGGGGGCAAAGTTGGGGGGGGGGCTGGTTCTGGGCAACATGGGTGACATAATTGGCTCACTGGGAGGATTTGAGGACAGGCACTGGCCGTAAGGTAAATCGAGTTTGAGACCCCTGATTTAAACA